CTTGAGGCCCTTAAGCTCTGACTTATTTGATGAAGAATAAGCAAATGATGACTATTTTTAAATAACTATTTAAACTTTTGAGATCTAAAATTAGGAATTTTGCCCCCAAAACTTGACATTAAAGCGGGTCCCTAAACATACCCACGGATCCTGAATTAGCCCCGAAACTTGACATTAATCCGGGTCCCCATGCATAAGAGGGTCCAACATTACCATGCATCCCGGACCACGTCAATGAGACCGCATTTCTGCAAGTCTTAAACCTTAAGCCTTAAGCCCTAAACTCCAACGCCCCTAAATCGGTTGTTCTCAAATTTATGGGCCCCTCTTGGTTATGGATTATAGTACGGCACCTAATATTTAGGGGTAACAAAAATGGGACCCTACTTATGGGAAACCCTAAAAGCTATAAACCCCTATATAATCCCAGTTGCCATGACATTTTCCATTTTCTTTTCCATTTGATTCTCCATTATTTTGGGAGCAAGCCAGGGTTTAGGGAAACTTCAGATTTAGCTGGGGAGCTATCAGGGCGCTGAAGCCTCTAAACTCAACCCTGAAGCCCTAACCCAAAGCCCTATAGGCCCTTACATGCGGCCTACAGAGACCCGGAGGGGGGGTCTAGGTTTAGGGTTCAGAGCTTAAAGACTAGAATGTATAGGAGGGCTATCTCAGGCTTACATGGGGAAATGGATTCCATCCATCAAATCTCTCAAGTAAAAAAGGAGCCCCGAGTGTAGTGCTGTGCTGTCAGGGGAGTGGAGAAATTTATGCATTACTTGACTGCTCACTCCGTAGATGAACAAGACACATAGGAGTCGTTTATTCATCTGTAGTCCCCCGGAAGTAGATAGAATGTGGCATTCCCCCAAATCATAATAAGATCGTCATCTACCCTATATTCTATCTACTTCAGGGGGCCTGTATCAGTAAATGGGGGCCTGCCCTAAAGTTTGGAGGCCAGAGACAGGAACCATGCCGTGACATCCAGAAACGGTTAGGATTTTGGGTTTAAGGGTCAGGGATTTAGGGTTTAGGGTTTAGGACTCAGGGTTTAGGGATTGAGCGTTGAGGGTGTAGCCCTGGTTTAAGGTTTAGGGGTCAGGGATTTATGGTTTAGGGTTCAGGGTTAGGGGTGAAGCCCTTTGAGAAGAGAAGCCAACCTCGTAGCCAACAATGTGGCTCTAAA